AGCACAGATAGCCCATCGTGTAGCTTTATACTTAACACCAAACAAACAAATTCGTCATTTAACACGAGCTCTGATTTTTTTTTCCTTGTCCGAACCTTGAACTCTTACATATTTGTAACGTAAATCGGATTATAGCTCCAAGCACAATTTACTTCAAACTCAGTCGACTTGATTGTATTCGATTGTCGTTGTATTTGTATACATTAATCAGACACTTTAATTACATTGCGTGACTTACGCATGTTGATATTTGTCTTTATACTTTAATGAATGATATGCTCGTATTTTCACTGGACATTTACATAAATCACTGTTGGTGAAAGATAACGAGAAGCCTTAACTTTACTGGTAACGATGCCCGAATTTGGTTGGCAGTATGTGGAAACCACCATTACATCGTGTTGGTTTCTAACGTGCGTGGTATTTTATTGCCTAAGGAACGTCGTTAGTTGAAATATGGACTTCCAATGTAGTAAAATAATACTTTTAGTCTCATGTTTGTATTCTGAAGTATCTCTCATTATTATATCTGTCTTGAAAGGCAATTCTGTGCAAATAGAGATTATCTTATAGTGTGTGAATAAATTCTTATATTTGTGTTCCCCTTAAAACATACTAATACATACGGGTGTCTGTTTCTGTTGTGTTTTTTTTTTTCATATGGAAACAAATATTGGAGGTAACTATATAAACAAGGTTATGCCTATTGAATATCTCAATGTATTAAGCTATTAAAGTCTTGTAAGTAAGCAAGTGCTAGTGGTGATATTAAGTTACTTAAGTTAGAGATGCTAGTTTAAACTTTACAGTAAAATCGATACATGCTTCAATGCACGTGCACATGCACTGGTCTGGTAGAAAAGCTTGGTTGTCATTATTTCTCGCGGTATTTCATTTTCATAGGATTTGGATTATTATAACTTAAAATTGTTACAAAGAGCTACTTTTATCGAATGCGTTCGTTAGTGATTATTGGTGTAATTGCACGCTCATTGGCTAACCAAGCATTTTGATTTCTCCAACCAGACTTAAGTTGTATAATTTTTTCTTCCTCGATAAATAAATAAGCTTTATCTGCTAAAGGAAGCCTTAATAACAAACAGGCGACACACAGATGTTAATTTGTGGTTTGTTATTGTCACGTGATAGTTTATTGTAAAATGTGATTTATGGATATTTTAAGACGGATCATTTTTTTGTGTGTAATTTGCTTACGTTGTTTAAATAAAGCACGTTTGTATTGACAAAACAAAATGGTTTCAAATTACGTGTAAAGTTTATATCACTTAGTTCGAACACTTGATCACTTTTTGATGAAACGATTAATACCGGCCAGGTGGTTAGAGGGCGCTCAAATCGCAATCTGTGAGTCGCGGGTTCGAATCCACATCACACCAAATATGCTCGCCCTTTCAGAAGTGGGGGCGTTATAATGTAACATTCAATCCCATTATTCATTGATAAAAGAGTTGGGGGTGGGTGGTGATGATTAGCTGCCTCCCTCTAGTCTTACATTGCTAAATTAGGGACGGCTAGCGCAGATAGCCCTTGTGTAGCTTTGCGCGAAATTCAAAACGACCTCCTAAACTTTTACCATTTGATTTCCGAAGTCCGGCTTTATTGAAAGTTTAGCTATATAGGTTGTAAAATACTCTCACCGAGGAAATACGGAGCTACATTATAAAGTAAAAAAGTATATTTTATGCACATAATGTGTAGTTCCTTTTACGCAGTCGAGGCTACCTTGCATAATAGCTTTCCAACTGAGAAACAAATAGACATGTTATAGAGTAAAAATATATATGTGTTGTGTGCATAATAACTTGTCCATAGCCCGGCATGGCTCAACTCGCAATCTGCGGGTTCGAATCCCCGTCACACCAAACATGATCGTCCTTTCAGCCGTGGGGACGTTATAATGTATCGGTTAATCCCACTATTCGTTGGTAAAAGAGTAGTCCAAGAGTTGGCGGTGGATGGTAATGACTAGCTGCCTTCCCTCTAGTCTTACACTGCTAAATTAGGGACGGCTAGCGCAGATAGTCCTCGTGTAGCTTTGAGCGAAATTCAAAAAACAAACAAACTGATAATACATAACACAACATGAGATTCTTGCTTATGAAATACAAAACATAAATTACAAAACGACACTTACCCACTTCTTCAACAGAGAAAACATCATGACGACCACTGCAATATTTCATCTGTGATTCGCCAAGCTTCACTCCTCCGCTTAGAATGAGCTACAACAGTAAAAACGAATAATCAAGTTGCTTCTAAAGAGAAACTTGATTAGATATACAATGGCTTAGAAATTTTAAATAATTCAATGACAGTATGTTTCTGTACCATGCACCAAAATAATCAGAAAATTAGAATAACTACTGTAATCATACACGGCAAAAAGTATTCGATAGCACAATATTGAAAGTTAATGTTGTAATTATGTCAATTCCAGTAATTCAGCAACACGACAATTACAATTAGACCTGCACACTTACTTGGGTGGTCCTTGAAACAGAGAAACCTTTTGTTGTTTGAACAGCGGGCATTTTCATCTTAGGTTGGTGGACATTCACAGTCTGCAAGAATAACAACATACATAGCTCTGTTCATGTTATTTATGTTTACATACTCATATTCGCCTAGGATACTTGTATATTTAAGAAGTTACCTGAGGCACGTATTTATAAATACTTTAAAAAAAAAAGATTATCTTTATAACATGTCGCACAACTAACGGCGTATATAAAACTAATGCATTTAACCATATTTAAAGTTCTTAAGGTCGATGTGTTGATCAAGTGATACTGGAACTACTGTTACAACATAATGTATTCTTAATGTATTTTGTAGCTTTCACAGAAATAAGAATATGGTTCGTGTTCAGTATTCTGTGTCGTTGTCATTTGTTCAATTGCCTTATTGAGCTGATTGGCGTCATTTTGTTCTTTTATGACACTAGACCTCAACAAACGTATGAACCCAAAATAAATAAGAAACATTTGAATAGATCGTTTTATAGAAAAGAATAAACCGTAATATAGAGTAATAAACACAAACAGTTTTGTTTTTGAACACAATACACAGCTATAAACTTATGTGATTGACAGGATTTATAAAATATTAAAAAAAAAGGAAATTCATTTTGCAAGTTTTGTTAATATTGATTAGAACGTTAAAGATACCTCTTATACTTCATTGTAAGAGCAAATATTTAAATCTCATTAGGAATTCATTACGTAAGTACAAAGAAAAAAAATTACACCTATAAGTAGAATCTACGTTCTTCGACATATTTCTACAAAAGAACACAACGTCCTTTTACGGACAGATGAACACCAAGAAGTTCGGTCCTTGGAAGATAGCGATCCAAAACTGCCGGTTTTGTACTACAATAACGCTTTTCTTTCTCCACACCAACTTATATAATTCAGAATTTATTTTTCTGTAGCGACTGTTAGTCTCCTCCATGGTCAATGAAGACCAAACCTGCCATCAGTAAAAACTGAAAAAGAAAAAATATAATAAATCAAAAATCCACAGTGTAAGGGCAAAAAACATAGCCCAAAGTAAAGTAAAAATACATACCGATAACTGGTCGTGTTGATGTCACTATGTTTAATTAATGTTCCATTTTAGTTATCTGAATCAGAATTCATGTATTTACTGCGATATATATGTTTAAAGCATATGATTTATGAAAACATATTTTTTGTAGCTTTGCGCGAAATTCAAAGAGAAAGAACTAAGATGAATTTTGTAACATAAGTTACAACATATGACATCAACTAAGATGAATTTTGTAACATAAGTTATAACATATGACATCAACTAAGATGAATTTTGTAACATAAGGTACAACATATGACATCAACTAAAATAACAAAAATAACAACAACAAAAATGTTGAATAACAACAACAAAAATGAAATGGGGAACAATTTGAAATATCTAAGATACAGCACTGAAGAAAAACATAAGAATTTCTTTCCTGCAGGTCACACTCTTTAAAAAAAGGGGCAATAACTTGGGAGATATTGTAATAAAATGTCAATACTAACCACTAAAATATATTACAAATTATATACAACTAAAGCCT